TTGACAAAATGGATATGGCCTCCCTGTGGCTTGGAATTGATATACACTGTCAAAAAGGGTTTTCTGAATGGTCTTTCTCTGTCACCTTTACCAGATTTTTATCCTGTGTTGTAGAAATGTTTTTTAGATTTTTATCCTGTGTTGCAGTTTAATGTTGCGTTTCAAATCATTTTTGCCTGAAAAAGTGTGTAATGGAATCAGGGTGTCCCCTGAATACTCCTAACAGTTGGAGATGTCTCTTTGTTTTGAACAGCAGAATCCCAATAGACCTGTGACAGCAGTGGAATTACACTCTTGACCTTGTTCACTAAAGTGTTGCTTTGTCTGTATGATGAAATGAGAGTAACCAACAAGAGCTTCCTCTGAAATGTATGAGTTTCCTCTGTTGATTTCTCATAAGAAACAGAAACGACACTGTGCAATTTTCAGCTGGTTGTGTTTTTCACGAAAGAAAAAACAAACAAACAAACCCAAATTCCTGCTTGATTCAAGGAGAGCTGGTAGTTGTTAGCCATATTAAAAATGCAAAAGCAGTTGATATATCAATATTTTCCTTAGGCCAGTGTTGTTGCTACACCCTGAGCATTACAGCAGCAGTACAGTGAAGTGGCAGATTTTTATCCTGTTGTTGCTTCATTCTCCATGGATTTTAAATCAAATGTATACTAAGGCACCAAATACAATTTGTAAGTATTGAATCTGAATATAGAAAAAACCCATATACCTAATGTTCGATGTGAATTTAAGTGATCGTTATGGACTACACAGTGTGTCAATCCAAAAGATAAGCACGCTGTATTCTGCCGATGCACATGCAGCCTTTTAAGCTCCTGGTGTTTCTTTTCATTTGCCTGTGACTGAGCAGACATAGACAGCTGTAGGATTTGCCATGACTGCCAGTCCTGCCTTGTGCATTGAGCCACTGGCACATCTCTTGCTTTTGATTTACTTATTCATGGTCTGGCTTCTCTCTGGAGCAGAAGAACTCAAGAAGCCAGAAAAGATACAAAATCAGGTTTTTGTTTCTTCCATTTTAGGCCGCTTCAGCTGTGTTGTGGGGAGATTTTTCTCCAAAATATTCCTGTTTACTGTGAATATCCCAGCTCTGGAATAGTGAACATACTTTCATTGTCATGCAGAGCACGTGAAATGCAATGGCAGGTACAATCCTGTAGTTCCTGTGGGTGAGGAGTTAGGGTTCAAAAGAGAGGGAAGGACTCAGGGAAGTCTAGTTTGTTTTTTGAAGAGATCAGAATAAGTGACTTACTGGCCTCAGTGGCCTCAAGACTTCAGAGCAGTTTCTTACTGTAGATGATGCTGTGTGGAGAGGGCATCAGAGCATGAAGGGCAATGCACTGAGGAGGCTGCAGATCTGTGACTCCTGATTTCCAATCCTGCCAAAAAAAGCTTTTGTTTTTTTAATTACTCTTTCATTGGTGATATAAATTAATGATTGGTATGGGTCTGAAGCAACCTTGTCATCAGAGAATATTTGGTTAGTGTTGACATACTTGTTTCTCTGCAAACATGAATCATCCATCTGCCTTTGGCAGGCTTGCCCTGTGGCTCTGCTATAATGTGTTTCACCAGTGTGGTGGAAATTAAAATGTCACTATTAAACATGGCAAAATCAGATGCTGTCTGGGAACCGCGTCTATTCAGGGAGTTCTTGCTTCCTATGTAGTTATTTCTGACAGTTTAATGGGACAGCTGTAATCTGGCATAAAACAATACGTTCATATATCTTCAATACATGGGGAGCTAAATGCTTTCAGAACGCTATTTCCTTGCATACATGAGTGTTTCATGCATGGCAGAAGCAGTAATGCTCATGTAACACCATGTTGCTGCTTAGGCCATTAGGAAGTGTAAAATCAAAATTAATTGTCCTGCAGGACCATATAGAGTGGGTCTCTAAAAGCAGTTGCTGGAGCTGTTTGCAGCTGCTGCATCAGCCAGGCTCCTTCCTCGTGAGCAGTTATTGACTCTGGGCTATTGAATTCAGGGCTCTGGAGGTTGCTCGGTGGAAAAAGCCTTCAGTTGCTGCTTGGCAGCTCTGTCACTGCAAGGTCATGGAAAGGGCACGTCACTCTCCAAACACAATTAGGGCCTTATTCGGCACCTTTTCAATCACAGGGAAAAGCCCCACTGAGCAGGGTGGCTCCCAGGCCAGGCTTTTGCACCCAGTCTCCTCAGTGAGACAGCCAACAAATGTGTCCCTTTTTGTCACTTGAGCCATCAGAAATGCACTTTGCTGTCATGAAAGAGCTAAGCAGTTGGGGCAGAAAGGTAAAGAGCCCAGTACAGGCTTATAAGCTCACCACAGTTGAATTTGGACCAGTGCCCTGTACGTATATATCTGTGTCCCTCCCTTTACTCATATCTAGAGCTGTCTCATTCCTCAGATCAAATCATTTGACTCTTATGAACAGCTGTAACTTGCAAGTTGAATAAAGTCCAACTGCTGAAAATGTTAGTGAAAAACATAAAACTCTCTTTTAACGCGTATCAACAGTATTGCTTTAATTCCACCCTCTCTGAAGATTTTTTCGTGTGTGTGCTAGGTTGTGCTTTTCATCCCAGGTGGCTGCCAATTCTGGTGAAAATAAGTTGAGCTGAGAAAGGTTGACCCACTCGCCTCTGAATTGCTTTTTATATGATGCGAGTCCCTCAGGGCCCAATTCTACCCACAGAAGTGAGAATGACAGCTATCAAAATATATACGAGGCATGTCAATGTGCACAAAGAAAAAGGTGAACCCCAGACTGGTCTGAGTGGTCTTTAAAATATGGATTTCCCTTGAAATGGTGATTACGGGGAAGCAAAGAATAATTAGAAAATTAGCCTGATGTACTAGCAGTTATATCAATGTATGGTTTTATATTAGCTCTTTCAGACAAGCAAAAGATCAGAAAATCCCTCATGACTTGCTTAAACTAGTGTATCAAATTTGGTTTAGAGTCTGATCAGCTTCTTTCATCAGTCTAGTCTAGACTATTGCCAGAGTACATACTCTGTACTAAACCTACAGACCCCTTAGGTGGAGGCCTACTCCACCTGAATCGAATAACTTTTTAATAAATTATATAAAATGTTCCCTGTCTGAGTAAATGAATCTCATTCAAAGATGAATACCTTAGGAACTGCAAAAATAAAAGCAAAAGTGTTGTTGCAGAAGAGAGGTGTTAGAGTTCTTAATTCACATTTAAATTACTGTCTCAGAAATGCAAAAGAAAAATTTTCAGCAAACTTTTATTATTTTTGATTGGCTAGGCATTTTTGTAAGTCTGTACTCAGATTCCCTAAAGGAGGAAAAAAATCTGTCAAAAATTATGCACAAATTTTTTTAGGAAATTAGGCACATGCAACTACCCTGTCTATCCCAAGTACACAATATTGGTTTTAATTAAGGGCCAGGAGAAACCTCCAGTATGTAGGATGCACTCTTGCTGCCTCTTAATTTCTACGCAGGATTATTTGCAAGGAAGTGAAGAGCAGTAAGAAATGAAGTCCAAGAGCAGTAAATTTCTTACCTTTCAAAGCAAAGCTGTTTGTTTTCCCATCATTGCCAGAGCTTCTTCCCACATCTGCCAATGTTGTACCATCCTGAACCTGTCTGCTCTTTGCCACATGAATCTCAGGAATGTGAACAGCTCATTTAATCATAGATAATGCTGCTGCCTTTTGCATACTAGCAGTAGTAGATGACAATTTGGAGGCAATTTTAGTCCAATGACCAATCCACAAGACTTGGAAATCTGTCCAATGCCACTAGTTTTAGAATTCAGGTTTGTACCTGAGTTGATTTTCTCAAGATGCCTGTGTTTTGAATTTAGAAGTTTAAGTTCTCAGTCTTTGTGTGCCTACCATATTTGTTGGTTGCATTCCAGTGGCATCAGAACACCTGGCATAGAGGCAATGACAGCAAATCAATCAAATGATCAAGGGAAGTAAGGTAGCTCATGCATAGGACATCAGTGGGGTGAAAATATCACAGAAATGGGAACATTTAAAACATAGAGAAACTGGAATCCAAGTGGGAAATACTTCTTTTAGCTATGCCAAATTCTGTCTATGTTCAAGAGGAGAGCTGTTATCCAAACACTGAATTAATCTACCGATGGCTGAGAAACAGTTCCACGGCAGGCATTAAAGTCTTTGGGATGATAGATAGTTTATCAAAAGTGCCAGGCATTGCTCTACTTACAGAGCTGCCTAAATAATGGAAAGATAAAGGAACATAGTTCTGTGAGTGAATACATGAATGCAGAATGTAGTAGAAATATTAGGTGAATTCTTCCCTCCTTCCAGCCAGTGGCATTACACCAAGGAAAGATTGGACCATTTTGTGTGCAACATATCAGATTGTTAAGAGGCAACAGGCAAGTGTTTGAGAAAATTTTCTCTCTGCGATTTGCAGAACTGTGGATGAAATCTCCTGTCTAATCTACAGTCATACCATTACCTGCCATCTTTCAGCAGGTAACTAGTTAAATTTGTGCTAAATAGGATTTGCTTTGCTATTTCCATTTAATGTTGGAGTAGAAATGTTCTGACATGACATATGACCAATTAATGATTGGAAAGTGCTTGGATGAGTCATTTGAAGCCAGTAGTTTAGACCGTGTCAGCCACAACTGTTATTAAAACCTGTAAAGAGTTGTCCTACAATCAGTGATTCTGCAGCATCTCCTCTGGGTGTCTGCATTTCACTTAATAAAGATACCCTGTAGACATCAATTGAAATAACTCTTGCCTTTGTTGTTTGGATGTTTTTGTGCGCTCTAAAATGAACTCAGCTTATACAAGTATACTTTGTTAGCCAGCCTAAAGGATGCAGGGCAGGAATTATCCTGGTCTGCTGACAACCTCAGTAGAAAAGAAATGGCTTTATTTGACTGTAATTCTGAAGAGGATAAGAGTGTGACTGTACCCTGTAGTTTTCTGGGGTTTTTTTACTTATTTTTTTCTGTGCTGATGATGTTTCATTACTTTTACAGAGCTATAATAATCCGAAATGGTGAAGTCATTCCAATGTCTTCAGAATTCACTCCAGAGACTGAACGCCAGCGACTTCAGTATCTGGTAAGAGACCTGAGGACCAAATCGGGTGCTGCTGATGACAAACATTGCCCAGTAATGTCAAAGGCTTAGAGAAATGCTGCTGAATTGCTGTGGCTCAGTGAAGGATGATGTGTCCACTGAACACCAGTGACTGATCATGTGTGTCTTTAAGCCATCAGCAGATGTGGAGAAAATCCTGGTGGTGCAAATCGCAATGAAAGGAGTATTACCTCTTCAGCAAAGGCCATCAATTAGCATGGCTATGCTTGTGTACATTGTTCAGCTGCAGACCCTTCAGCAGCACACTGGTGTTGGATTTTGAGAACTCAGACACAGAGTTAATGAGCCACACATGTATTTCAATCCATCCCAGGGCTTGCTGTGTGACAGTATGAAATACCACAGACTGCTCGTTGTATGTGAGTGATATTGCAGAGTTCAATTAATTTACTCAAACAGTATGCCAGCAGTATCTCCATCAGGAGAAAGATATCCAACTTAGAGGTGATCTCAGTGAACATTAGTAGCTGCAGGATAGGATGGGTGATCAAACATTAGTTTTATTTACTGTAGCAGCACCCATAAAGCTGGGACAGGGTGTCTAGCTGGGGACACATGCGATGCTTTATAGACCAAGCTGTGTTAGCTGATAAGCTGCCTGAGGGATATAAGTTAAAATGTATAGTGTTGTTTTTCATACAAACCATCCTGTTACTTTTTAAGGTTTTCTTTGATGGACAGATCAGTTGGTTGAAGTCGATTAGTTGTTTGTCAGAATGTAATTTCTAACATGGCTGAGAGATTTCCTTTGTGCTTCTTCTGTTTCTTTTAGAAATTTAAGCTTCAGCCAAGGTGGGGTCACTCTCAGCCTTGCCTGACTTAAGGTGGACAGGGCAAGGTTAGTGATGTTCCCAGGTCTTAAGGTGTTTTTTATTTTCAGCCTAGTTTCCACTGTGGTTTGGAACTAGACAAAATCCCAGTGTTTGAAAGGTGGAGGTGGAAGGTTTTAAAGAAAAAATTGTGTTTCCTCAATTGTCACATTTAATTTTTTTTCAGTCAGATTCATTGGCTTGAAGCTGAAAATTTCAGAGGAAATACTGCTTTGGGACTATTCATATTCAGAGAACCAAATGGAAAAGAGGCCTAATAAATATTTACAATTCAGTTACATTTAAAATAATTTGTTTGCCTCTAAAATAAAAGGTATCTTTAGCATCTAGGGAGTCTGCTACTTCTGTAGGAAATATGAGATAAAACATTGCCTACAAGGGTTTTTGTTTTCTCTTTTGATGTCCTTTCTGGTTTAAATTTGAAACCAGTTGCTGATCTGAAAAGCATTTCTGCTGTTTCCTGTGGAAAATTCCTTTACCTTTGTTTGTCTATTTTAATTCTGTATGTAACAAATATGCCAGGTCTATGGGTATCATGTTCAAAGAGAATACATGCAAGACAGCAAGAGCGTGAAACAAAATTACAGATAATTTCAAACACAACATTCCCTAAGTAAGATTTTTACTCTTGTGTTTAAAAAAAGAAAAATAAAAAGATGACTTCAAACTTCTTGAAAAGTTGGCGTAAGCATTACACTACAAAGTTTGCATCTATCTTGCTGATTAGATCCCAATTAATCCTCTTATCACTTGTCTGTCCCCAGGTTCTATTAGTCTGTGTTTCTACCATCAACATCTCTTGTCTCTGGTTCTGTCTGAAAGTTATTTACTTGGAGTCTATTTTCTTATTTGCAGTTAAAGCTGAGTTTCTTTGTTTCAAATATGTTGTGCTTCAAATGTGTTCCTCCTGCATGATAGGAAGAAAATCCACAATCACTTTAGCATTAATATTTTACTTGGTAAATGCAGAATATTTACTTGGTAAATTACTGTACAAGCAAAGGGAGGGCATGGATTTACAGCCTGCAGGCTGTTCCCTGTGCAGCAGACACTTTTGGTGCTGTCAGAATGAAGGAGCTTCCATCTGCCTAAATTTAGTGCCTGTTGATTCCTTCAGTCACATGAGATGTTCTTTTAGGCCCTATTTTCTGAGCCTTAATTTCTGTGTGGAAAGAAGTCTATGGGATAATGAATTGTTCAGGTCATGTGAGTATCTTATATGAAGTCTTCCAATCTAGTCTTAGACAAAACTGTGCCTCAGCTAATACTGATTGAGTAACTAAGAGGGGAGGGAAGCAAATGGAAGCAAAAGGACTTGCCTGTCCTGGCAAGTTTATTGCCATGCATCCAAGAATTACCTTGGCAGTAGGCCTCTGGCATGGACACGTGAAAAGAACAAGTTGTCTGTCCATTCATTCTGACTTTGAAGCAGCTCTGAGTCTGGTCATCGCTCCATATGAGGGCAGTGGTGGGGCAGCATCCAGCTGCAGACTTCAGGCTGGCTATATGATAGAGACAGACTTCTGTGTCAAGCAGCTTGTGAGAGTATTGCAGAAGGCAATCAATCATTCAGTCAGAGAGCACTTCTTAAGTTGTAAAATTTGAAAGCTTTGCACTAGTATTCCCTTGATCCTTCAGTTTCTGTAGAGGTTCAGTGCACCATGTTGCTTCCCTTCCACTGGTGGGCATTCAAACACCTCCTTCTGAATTTGTGTAGCAAATTCTGTAGCAGGAGACTTCCACACATCTCTTGGGAAAAGTCCTGACTTCCTGTATCAGTGTATCTTGAAGGAAAAAAAAAATCCAGTATTTACTGGGAACTGCTCTGGTAGATTCAGCAGTTGTGCGGGCAGCGACAGCCAGAAGCAATTTTTCTTTCATCTTCTGAGGAGACTATTAATTTCAGCCATGATAGTCTAAATTGCAACAGTAAATAGGATACATTTTGTTACTTATTCCCTTGGAAAATGTGTTTCAAATGAATGGTGAATTGAGTGTACTGCAGATGGGTGTATTTCTTTTAGTTACTGAAATTTACACTTTCAAGATGTCATGTGAAGTCAATGTGGTGTTTGTAGCATCTTCATGTGTGCAGCCAAACAGCTCTTCTAAAGTTCACCAGAAATGGTAGACCACTTCTGCCAGTGCAAGTGTCACTGCTAGTAGAGACTGGGTGGCCACCAGTGACAGTGACTATGGGTGCTCTTTGTGTTTGCCACCATTCAAGCAAAGGTTCATGAGCCCAGATAGTCATGGGCTCAAAGGGGATCTATTCTTATTTTGTTGCTCAGGTGAGGATAATAGTGACACTAATATTCACCTGCTGAAGGACACTTGCAGAACCTGAGCCTGAAGAGGAAATGAACCTAGATCTCCTAAATATCCAGTCAGCACTTCAATTGCAAGTCAGTCAAGATGTAATTCCCTTACAGTTTTGGCTCCCTGTATCACCCAGCATAGAATTACTTCAGCCGTTTCACACAGCGGATGATGCTGTGGTAAAGGAGATGTGTGGTTCCATGAAAGGGGTCCTGGCCTTTCACAAGATGAGAGACCAATCAAGAGATGGATTTGGCTTCTCCTTCCTTTTGCCACCACATCCTTTAATTTTAATCTCTCTTTGTTTTAAATGTGTCCCTATGATAATGGCTGAGTTATTTGCAAAACTTCTGGGTGCGCTGGGCTGTGCATGCTGCTGTGAGCAGTAGTCCCATGCTAGTGGAATATTGTTTTGGAGAAAAGGGCACAATATAATAAAAGTATAAAGTTGTAAGATAATAGCAGAAGTAGGGGAAAGCAGCAAATCTGAAAATAGCACAGAATGCTGAGAAATCACTAGTGCCAGCAACTTTCCAGGGCAGTGCCTACTGAAGGAGTGGAAAAGGCAGTGGCAGGGTTTACTGAGTTGCAGATAAGATACATGCAGTGTTTCCTGCCACCTAATTAACTGGCATGCTAGTGTGTAAGTCTAGGTTTATCTTAATTTCATGTTTGCTTTTCTAATCACCAGGAAACACAGCAGGAAGTAAATGCAACCATGACTAATATTTCTTTGACTGAACTTCATTTTAAACAACTAATTTTGAATGCGATGCATCCATCCACAAAACACACCATAAAATGGCAGAGTACCAAAAACACACAATGCGGACTATGCCAGATTTATGCCGAAAAGCTCTAACAGCTTCTGAAAGAGAAAATATGAGAAATGTTCCAGTTCCATAACACAGAATAACAATGTTGTCTGAAAATACCTCATAAGGATACAGGAAGTGTTTGGTAGCCACACTATTTGTTAAATTTCAGGTTCTCTGAGTGGTGTTTCTGATCTGAGGTTCCTGCAAATTGAGACTAAACAAATTAAAAAATGGAAGATACATTGTGTCATCAAAGGTGAAATTATAGTAGTTAGTTCACTTATCTTTTTTTTTGTTGTTTGATCACTTGAGAGGATTTCATGGTTGTGCATGTCTATCTGTTTGAAGGTTCTGTAGATTTTTAAAGTGTTGCTCTTTGTTTATTTTCTGATTCTGCTGCCCAGCATGGTTTTCTTGAGGTGGGGAGAAGAGCCCTGCCTTGTACATGGAGAACAGTTCTCAACAAACCCAACTGGAAGTTGCAACTGAGTTTTGTAGTAGAACATTCTTCTCTCTGTAGAATTACCAGTGAAACATCAAAATTGACAGTTTAAAAATGGTAAAAAATATGAAAAATTAAATAAATAAAGCAAAGCACAACAAAAATCCCCATTTCTTCACATAAGAATTCAGATCTCAGACACCAGAAGCTTCCAAATTGCTCTTTTCCCTCTGTTTCACTGACGCCAAAAATATTAGAATCAAGTTAAGATCCCTGGATTGTAAATCAAGCATTGAGGCTTGGCTGCGGAAGAGAAGTCTTATTTGAACATTAGCAGTCCACTGGTAACTGTGCCAGCTTTATTAATCTTATTTCAGTTATGACCTCAGACTTTCCATCTGAGTAAATCTTTATGCAATGCAGTCTCTCCTGGTTGCTTTACCTTTTCATTAAAGAAAATTCTTGGTTTTAAGTGAAAAAAGGATAAAAGCCTGTAATGTTTTTCTTCTGAACCTCTTATTCAGACTAGTAATCTCACAATCTGAAGATTAGATAACTTCATTTTGATATCAGGTGTGATTGTTTTTTAAGTATGACCTTGTTTTTTAGGCAGGTGACAGTATTTAGCTGGTAGTGGTTTATAATGTTTTAATCAAGATAAGCTGTGCATTTTTAAAAGCAAACCGAATTTCACTTTGAATGCAGATTTACTTCATTGTTTACAATATCATAGAGCAGAAGAAATTTTAAATATACCAAAACCAATCCAGCTCTTTGTTATTATACAAAGAAAAAATATCATTCATATTATGCGATGCATCAAACCATTAGGAATTTTCCATCTTTTTTGCAACTGGAATGAAAATAAATAAAATAAAAAGCTTACGTGTACTTTTAAATGAAGAAGTTCATTTTTCATACTTCCAGTGTTCTGGGAGTATGAAAAGTCTCATGTGGACTAATACTGCTGAACCTCTCAAAACTCACTAGTGCTTCTCAACTATTTCTGTAATGAGGAGAGGGATCCAATTAGAAGGCCCTTGGCAACAATGTTTGGGTGTAGAAGGGGACCTTCTACAAGGTTGGCTGACTGTAGACTCAAGGAAAAAAAATATAATTCCCTTAACTGTACACAGAGAGAATTTGATGGAGTTCCTGTTCCAGGAAGGGATCGTGATGTCAAGATCACTTGTGTGTTTGAAAGCCACCTCTTGAAAGCAGAATCCAATCTTGCTGGCTACACACAGCAACCTTCCTCAGTCCTGTTCCAACCAAGCTTGAGGTATTTTCTGGAACAATGTCTGGTGATGGGAACAGGAACAAGTTGATAGAAAGTTAGCATTGTGATGTGCTGAGCCTGATAGAGCTCCTATTAAATTGAGTGGGAGCAGGCTCAGCTCTTAAATGCAGGAAATATTTTATTGTGAACTATCTGCATGACAGATGCCAGGTAGATCAATAGGGGCTTCCAGTGCTTCCTGCTGTTTACCTTTGATGAGCACTAGATTTATGACATATATACAAACTAAACCACAGCTCATTTCATCTCCCTTGATGGCAGCTGCTGCTGAAGATAAGACAGGCCTTATTGCCTTAACAGGCTGGATAAGGAAAAAGAGTTATCTGCAAAAAGGTTAAGAAATGCAACTTTTTTTCAGTTCCCTAGCCAATTTGACTGTGTCTTTCATAAGAGCTCTTTCACAATGCAGCTTTGCGGAGGAAGAGAGAAAGGCTTGTTTATTTCAGTATTAAAGAAAAAGGAGTGAGATTTATTTCAGAAAAAAGAAATAGAGTATGTTTAGGATTAAACTATCATGTCAAGTGATCTGTCTGTAAATTCAATCCAAAAATTTACACGGTGAACAAAGAACCTCGTGATGCTTTCGACTGTGGTCAGCTTTGGAGAGCGTTAGTCAAAGGCACAACTCTGGCAAAGAGGCCTCCCAACATCTGCAGAGCAGTGCAACACAAAGGACATGAGCAGCATTTGAGCACTAAAACCATCAAAGGTCTTAGTTGCAGTTGTGACACAAAACTGCTGCTGCTTTTCTTGAAGTCTGTTTTGGATGAAGGATGTAGTTTTTTAAAAAAAAGAAAATAAGCTGCTTTGTAGCTTGTGTTTATTTGCAGTGGTGTGTGATGGCGTGCATTTTTCTCAAGGTGGTGACAATTAAAATGTGGTAGCAATGTTGGTTTTCTGTGTTGTTGGTATAGCTGAACTGCGAGTCAAAAATCTTGAGCTTCACTGCACAATCAGCCCTTCAAGTCTCTCCATGGCTTTGTATTTGATCATTCCTTTCTCTCTTGCTGACTTACAAAAGGGCATGTGTTCTGTTTTAAAAAGCTCTGCAGTCTCCTTCAGGGTCAATGGATGAAGTGTAGTTTAGAGAGCCCAAATCTTGAGGAGTAGGGAGAAGAAATAAAGGATTTTGAGGGCAAGACAAATTCTAAAGCTGCATAAGGCTGCTGCTGGATATCAGGCAGGGGCAGAAATGGTGTATGTGCATTGTTTGCTGAAATGGAGCACATCATTGTCCTTATTTAAAAAGAAGGGTAGAGTAGTGGGTGGAATTTGTGTGGGAAGGGACCAGGAAGGGATGGTAATACTAGCTCATTAAAAATAGATGATGTCTTGTTTTATGTGGTATCTGTGGTTTGATTTCTGCCCACAGGCTTACATGCAGCCTCACTTGCTGGGAAATGAATTCACACATCTAGAGTTTCCACGGAGGGTGCAGCGCAAGGAGGTTGGAAAGAGGATGCTGTACCGTGACTTCAACATGACTGGCTGGTAAGAATGTGTCCTCCTCAGCATGGGGTCAGCCTTCTCCCCCAGCCAATGCCTACTTTGTACCTATCTTTGATTAGTGTAAACTGCAGCAAACATGGAGGTGTACCCCTGCATACAAAAAGAAAAGGCATTTCCTTATTTCAGGTGTATCTTTCATCTAGAAGATGATGTTTTAAATAAGTGGACCTCCCTCCACAGAGTTCATTGTAGTGTGGGAGCACTACAAAGTGGAGAAAGCATATAAAGGCAAAAATGTGCCAGGGGATCTTTCTGAAAGCAAAACAATTTTCCTATCTTGGGCATAGTTTTTTATAAATTCTGGATGAGCGGGTAAGACGTTCGTCTTTTAAACCAAGACGTTGGGCCATCATGCCTTACATGCCAAGGAAAGCTTGCAGAAGGGAGAAGCTTCCTCCCGACTCCACTGCAGCTGGCCCTTGGTTTGGATATCCCTTGAGGAATTGTTTAAGACAGGGGCCTGTCTGAACACAACCAGCCTAAAATGAGAATGCTTGAATGAACGGCATGGACTTAAAGAAGTGAAGACAGAAAGAATGACATGGGGTTTTTTGTTCCTGGCTAAATGTCTTCATTGTTTTTTCTTGGTTCAAGAGGCTCCTTGGAGAAGCCCTAATCTTTGCTGTTGTAAGTTCTGTGCATGACCTATAAAAGTAAAAGCCCAATATATGCAAATAGTCTTCATTTCCATGACATTTGTGTTTTCGTGTCAGTAGTAAATGTCCTTTCAGGAAGAAAAAGAACTGAGGGGTTAAAAAGAAAGCCTATTTTAGGTTTGGAAGTCTGGATGCTCACATACAAGTACAGCTCTACATAACTTTTGCTTTGTTCCATGCTTTATGGACCATAAATATAATTATGTTTTAATGGCAGAATAATGATCTAAGTTTAATGTAATCTGAAGTGTTTGTGCAGAACATGTAAATCTGAGAATAACTGTCATTGTCTGTCATCTTGAACAGCTGCTAGTAGAATATGCAGTTTCACCCTGAGAATGATGACTTCACATTTTAAAAAGGCTACAGGCATGAGCAAAAGAATAGGAACAGAATGAGAACATTGGATCAACTGAGGACTTACACAGCAAAACATTTGGAAGATCATGAGACACTCTCCCAATTTCTGCAGAAGGAGGGTTTTTTTCATTAAGCTCCCAGATGTCTCTGGAGACACCAATAAGGAATGGTTTCATGTAGACTTCCAAAAGCTCTTTTTCAAGATGTGACATGCCAGTTGGGAGGAAAAACGTGGGGGAGAGCTACAGAAGTATCATAGGCCAGGAACTTCCTGAGAAGAGGGCAAGAACAGATTTCTGTCATCATGTCTGGAAAGCAAAGAGGGTTTCTTCAGGTTCATGGGAGTTGTTTTGCATTTCCCTGGTTGGTTAGTGGTCTGGAAAGGAAATGAGGTTGGAATGGTTGAAGTTGCAGTACTGGCAGGTGACACTGCAGCTCTTTTCCTATTAAACAAGAATGACCATGAGGTACTGCTAAGAATTAAGTGATTAATGCAAATGGGCATCATAGTGATCAAATTCAGTATTGAAAAATACAAAGTAAAGCATGAAGAGGAAAAAAAAACTATTTATGCGCACTAGAGGTTCCAAATTGAAAATTCAAAAAACTCAGTGGAAGTTTTGCTTACTACAGTATTTTTTTCCAGCCCAAATCACCAGCAGAATGTTGAGATTCATGCAGCACTAGACAGTTTAAAAGTTAAGTGAAGAGGTAATTCTGTATATTTCTGCCTCACTTGTGAATGTATGCATAACGCTTTACCTTATCCAAAATGGTCATTATATAGTTTATACTGTTTGGCTTTAGAAAAAGGAACAGAAATTCTAAATGTAGAATAATGAGTGAGGTAGAAGAGCTTTGGTAAGTCAGACTGGCAGATTTGATCCAATGTGTTGCTTTTCAATACTGATTTGTGAACTCTCTTAGCTCTAGCATATAGCAGGGAGGAGAAAAAAGTTATTTTCCATTTGATTTTTCTGAATTTCCTGAAATCTAGGACACACGTTGATCTAGTTAGAGATTCTAATATGGTCAATGCAAAAATTGTCACCAGTTCAGTACAAATATGCTTAGCTGTAAGCAGTTATTCTGGAATAAATGCTTGAACTGCGACTTGAAAATTCAAGTCTGAATTCACCATAGTATTGTCCCAGAAAAAGGTGGCCTGTGCCAAGCAGAAGCATGTGGAGACTGTGGTGAGGCTACCTCACCCTGCTGTTTCTTTTGACTTCTGGATGGAAGTGAAAAATGGGGCCTACATTTTTGTCCTAATAAAAGAATTGGAATCTTTCAGCTGCTCCATATTGCACAACTAGTGCATCAATTACCTCTTTGTTTGATTGCCTTGGGACAATAAAATTATGAAGAAATTGCTCTATTGCCATGCATTTGTGTAAAACAGAGCCCTTCTAAATAAGGATCCATTTCCTTTTGCAAGGTTTCACCCAAGGTGTTTGTTATCCATTGGATTGTGTGCAGTGAACCCCTAGGCAGAGGAGAAGCAATCTGTTTCTATTTATGTAAAAGTCTGGGTCAATTTTAGTGGCTGTGATTGTGGACAAGACATTAGATTTCCAGTTTGGTCGGCCCTCAGAGGTGATGGTTTGAGGTGGCAGAGGTTTCTTAGTGGCTGTTTTCCACTTCAACGATTTTGCTTCTATTTTCTTTCCTTTCTTATTCCTGGATTCAACTGGTGCATCAGGACACAGTGGCTGAGGACATGTCTGTTTTGCATTTGTTTCTAAGGACACTATCTATCATGGAGAATAAATTAGCATATATATTCCTTTTCTAGAAAATGTCAGATGGTACTTTGGCCAGCCAGAGCTTGGTACACTAAAATGCTGCTGAACTTTTATCACATACAATGCAGATGATCAATTGTGTGAATTGTTTTTTGGTCACTAACCTCATTGTGTGTTGACATTTGCATATACATGTAGAGAGGTGCAGGTGATATTAGGAAGAAAAAGCGACTCTTACACTTAATTACTTAATCCTTTAGTGAGAGAATGTAGAACACTCTCTGCTTTGATGTTTCCTCGGGAAACTAAACTGTTTTAGTTTACAATTCAATATAATTTTTGTGTTTTCTATTAGAAGCTGTATGATTTTTTTTTTTCCTCATTTTTATCCTCCTCCTTTGCTCCAGAGCTTTTCAGATTCTCAACAATGGCTTGGCTTGCCCAGCTTGTTTGGATTACAAAAGATTATTGTCTTTGGGTCTGTTATAATGTATTTGGCCCTTTATTTTTTCTTTCTTTCTTTTTATGTTTTTTTTCTTTTTCATGTGAAGTTTCCACACTGGCTTTGTCTCCACAGCCCACAGTGGTAGCACAGCTGCCAAGTTTCCCCACAGCATTAGGACAACCACCGATCCAGCAATGTGTGCCGCATCACTAGCCCAGGCTGCCTGCAACTGCTTTGAGACCAGCCTTTCCCTTCCCGCTCCAGCTCGCCTACCCTGGCTCCTTTCTTTGCAGTGGCAATTGCAATGAGAAATCATGCTGTATTAAATATATGTAAAATAAATCCCACACTGCTGGGAGCTGACCATGAGCTGCCCTTCCTGCACCCTTGCCCTATGCGCGTTGTGGTTGAACAACGATTGCAAAACGTGCAGTGTAGCTGGCAAGGCATCTTAAGAGCAGTGTGTCCTGCTGAACAAGCTTTCAAGCTGTCTTGAGCCATAATTTGCTGGCAGATATCTGTGTTACTGACAGTCTTTCACAGCTGGGTCTCTGGACTGGAATTTCCAAGCCCATGCCTTGCAGAGGTTAGACTTGTGTTGGAGAGAGGTGTCCTGGTGGCTTTCACAAGTCCTGGCAATAGAAGCATCAGGAAAGACTCAGAGGCCATGTAAGCAGAGACTGGTCAGTGCTAAAAAGTGGGGTGAGTAACCTGAAGCGGAAATGGAGGGAGGAGGGAAACAGCAGGCCTGGTGACAGCTGCTCCTTTGAAGGACTGCACAGAATTAGTGCTCTCTGTCTCTGGCTTTTATTTAAAGCTAAGACACAGTTGGTCAAATTTCCTTCATGTGTACATCCAGTGTGAACAGTTTGGAGGTATTTTGCTTTGACTATATCCTAGAACCTTCAGAAACTTGGATTTCTGACTGGCTGTGTGCTTCACTGTGGCTCCTTCCAGAGTTCCCCTCCCAGCCTTCTGTGGGGCTGGAGGAGCCATACAGCACTGTGCTTAACCAAAGGCATCCAGAAGGCACTACCAATTGGCATCAACTTCAGTGGTTTCAAAATTAATTTTTTGCTCCTCCTTGGAACAGAAACAGTGGCTTTACTGCTGCTTGCATTGAAGTGCAGTTCTTTAAAGGCTTGTATCCAGATCACAGCTTCAGCTATTTGACTTGATTTTAGGATGGCAAAAGAGACCTAGATAACAAGTACGGTTTTTGACCTACTTGTTGGTTGCTTCCTTTGCCCTCCAGGAGAGGCAGAGCTGAGCAGCGCAGCTGAGCTGCACCCCATCAGAAATGGTTTGAGGCAGTGTAGTGCCCGCCACACACCGTGGGCTGGAGCCAAGGTGGCAGCGAGCCGGGGAATTGGGCTCAGTCTCTGAGCGTGCTGTCTTTGCTGCAGCAGGGGAGCCCTTGCCAGCTCCGTGTCTGTGTGTCTGGTGAGGGAGTGCGGTGGCACATGGGGTCAGCCCCGAGGGTCAGACCGTGCTGGGGAATCGCCTGCCCGCATGATTTATTCCAAAGCAGGGAGGCTGGTGCCCTGAGGCAAGCACTAAGCAAAACCTATTTTATTCTAGAGTCAATATTGTCCACTGCCTGGAAAGCTGCCAGCCTGCTCTGCACTCGCCCTTTTCTTTCCAACAGGGAATGTCTTTCAGCCTCTAAGCATCTGATTAGAGAAGCAACTTCACTTTTCAAGACGTTTTATTTTGTTTGGGATGGATGCCTGTCGCTTTCATTGTGCAGCCTGCCTTGCCGTCTGCGGTTCAGAC